TAAGTGTATATATATATATATATAAGAAAAAACTAACACCTCTGAAACTGGGAAAACGTGGTTTTTCGGTAACCTATGTCATATGTGTTTGCATATCAGATTACCACTGCACAAGTGAACCTTTTTTGACTTCAGACTTTTTTTTACTGTTTTAAATTGCCGCCTCTCTTTTTATCTTCTTTATTATTTTATTTGCTCTTTTTTTTCTCTTTTTTTTAAACGAAAAACGAGAAGATAAAACGTGAAACTTTAAAAATACGTGCGTTTGAAAATGCGTGTGAAAAAAATAGCAGGTGAAGGCAAAATTAAACTGATATTATATGGATGAGAGAAAAAGTAGTTGAAACTGTTTACCATAGTTCATATCCAAAAATTAATACATGGAATCGGCTGATACAAAAATGTTTATCGACTGTTAGAACGAAAAAAAAACCTAGAGAAATGCAAAGCTGTAGGAAAATCAATAGCAGTTATCAAGTAATCTTTATAAACAAAAAATTAAACCAAACCAGTTTGAAATATTTTAATCAATGCAAAAGAGAAAAAAAAATAGATTTTTGATTTATTTATTTTTTGTTCAATAAACTGTAAATTTAAATAATACATTAGATTCTAAAGCCAGAATAAGTTATTTGTTTATTTGCACCTAATATTATACGTATACTCTAAAGATTGTTGAATTTTCCTTGTTCTACTGCACTTTTTTTGTTGATGGAATATTTATGAACACATATTGCAACAGCAATGACAATGCTTTAGATTGTTTTAGTTGCGTCATAAGTTTTGTTTAACTAACAATAACTATATAAACACAAAAATATAAAAAAAAAAAAACGAAAAACTTTGGGAATGAAACCATCGTTAATTTATAATTATTTTGTTAACCAATGTCTCGTGTTTATGCCATATTTTGATAACTAAAAAACAGCAAAAAATTTTTAGAAAGCAAGAAAAGGAGAAAAAAAGTAAGTTCCTTTTTTTTTTCTTTTTTTTTTTTTTTGTTTTTTGTTAGTTATTTTTATGTTGAATGATACATATATCAAATAGAATTGATTTGTTTGCAGACAGCAGAACGTGGACGTGTATTGACAATGAAATATGGAAAGCATCAGATGATGCTGATACGTAAACGAATGAGCGTTGAAAATTGGTTGGATGAACAGCTGAACGCCTTATACAACGGCGATGCTGTAAGTGTTCGTTTGGCTCTGTAAAATACATATAATACCTAAATTTTGCAAATAATTATCGAGAAAGGAAGTAGGAAATAGGTGATACATCTAAAGATAGGACAAGAACTGTTTATTATTTGAACAACTGATAAATCATTCGATTTGGTGCTTATTTGTTGTGTCTTCATTTTTTTCACTTAAAAGCTGATATTAAATGTGAAATATTAGACGGTTATTTGGAACTGGATGGAACACTGAAAAAAGGGGTTTAACGACAACTTTATGCTTGTACAATTTTGATAATTTCTTTCTGTTAGCTGTAAAATTGATCTTAAATTCTCTTTCTATTCTCGAGGAAACACAGCATTGTTAAGCCGTTTATAAGCTCACCAAGTTAAAAATTTTTGACATTTACGACATTTGGGAGACCATAAAGTCACATTGAAGTTTTAGTGAATGTTTTTGAACAATAATTTAAAGAAAAAAAAAACGTTCAAAATGTAAATATGTATTTAGCTATGCATAGAAAAATATAACTGTTAATATTACAAGCAAAACAAAGAGGAAGTTATCAACTTTGTTCTGCTCGTTTTTTTTTTTT